AAGCCCCTATTCTCTTTCTTAAGGACTGGGAGATAGTCCACGACTCACATCAGTATGTTGCTACAGGGAAGATGCATGCTCTCAAAATTCTAATTTTCATCTCTTTGCTGTCCAGTATGCAGTCTAAATATAACAGTTTGCTTCTTTTGTGTGAGGAGGAAGTAGAAAGTGGTTGACTGGTCTAAACACATATGGATTTAGCACTGCATGCCTAACAGCCTGAGATGTGGATAAAGGAGCTTTGTCTACCTTTTACTTAAACAGTTTTAGATCAAAAAACATTTCTCATCAATAATCCCTTCTCATTTTGAAAAAAAAATTACTAAACATGTGTTACATGTTCTCTTCATGCAGAAAAGATCACAGATTTGGCCCACTGCCATTCCAATGAAAATCAAGGTGTGGGGAAGAATGGAAGATATGCATCACACTACAGACTTTTTAGAGGCTTGTGGCTTTCTCATCTGAAAACCACTGGCAGGTACAGGTAGAATAAAAAGAAGAGGAAGAAGGCTTTGAAATAAACAAATTTAGATATTTTAGTTTCATTATCCTCGAAATAGTTACTTACAGGAGCATTTTCATTGATGGTCTTGACAAAGAACAAGGTACTGGAATCAAACAGAAACAGCCGGACTTGCTCTGCAAATGAAAAATTAGGCTCACTTAGTCATGTCTCCTTTACAGCGTGACTAAAATAGTCAGTTCTCTCTCCCTCCCTCCCACTCTATCCATCTCTCTTTTTCATTCTCTCATCCTCTCTACCCGCTCCCTTCCTCCTTCGCATTGGTTCAACCATCTGATAATCTTCTGACGTGGTATTCTCGTCACCACACATGAATCTCTGGTGAGATTTTAAAGATGAAAAAACTATACAGATGAGATTTGGAGGGTGGGGGAAAAAAAAACAATACTTTTTGTGCTTTAACAAGTTACTCACATACCTGTGTACACACAGAAACACACAATCTGCTTGCTAACAAAAGCTGCAGCTCCCCTCACACTAAAATATCAACCCCAAAATAAGTTACAGTAATAATTTGTGCAGAAATGGTTAATGTGGCAACTTGGTGGAGTAAACAATTAAGTAAATTATATACTTTCAATGCATTGCCTATAAAAGCCTACAGTGTTGGAGAACTGGCACAGAAAGAGACACTTTCAGGTGTGCCGCGATGAGAGAGAAATTCTGTAATGGACTTTCTGATTGAGGAGTAGCAACCAGTCGATGCAAGTTGAGGTGTTTAGTATTTCTCACTCTTTTTAAGCATTTCAAGCCCTTGAGTACTGAAACCAGGAGTGACTGCAGATGAGCTTACATCAAAAACTAAATACCCTGAACTTTAACTAAGAAACTCAATAAGGGAGGAAGGGACTCATTCAGGGAGGAAGGGAAAAACATGTACAAAAAAAAGTGTTTCAGTAAGGCTCATTATCGATGAGCAGTTGTTGTAGTGCTAGTCAATAGAGGCTTTCAATGAAACATTCAACTGTTTGTTTTGTTCTGTGTGTTGTTTTTTTTCCTTATTTCCTTGTTGATTTTCTTAATAAAAGTTCACTGTAATTAGTCTTTGAGGATTTGAGGTTCATTGCTGCATACATTGTCCATCTGCATTTATCTCCGTCACTGGCTTTCTCTTTCCAGTTGGTGAACAACGAACGAACAAACTTTATTTTCAAAGGGTTACAAATTGGGCACGCAGGCCCGTCTGACATTCGGCCCTTTTAAGCACTCGTTTTTCAGAGTACCACTGCCTGTTATCTAAAATGCATGTTATGGATAAAGAATAAAAATATACATTATAGAATATAATACATACATCATGTGTACACAGTCTTACACACTTTCCCATTCTCATACATGCACACTCATATACCGACATACCTAGCACATACATACATACATGCATACATACATACATACATACATACATACATACATACATACATACATACATACATACATACATACATACATACATACATACATACATACATCCATCCATCCATCCATCCATCCATCCATACATACATACATACATACATACATACATACATACATACATACATAAACGCATCTGCATATATACACAAACAGAAAAGACACACACATACATATATGGACAAATATGCACACACACATTCCATATATACACATGCATGCATGCATACACACACATACAGTCACATGTACAGACACTCACAACCACACATTTACACTCACATGTAAGCATACATACACACATACATACATACACACATCAATACATACACCTACATCTTTACACACATACATGCTTACATACCTAAATACACACATGTACACTCACATACTTATACATCTACAAATGCATACACACATGAGGAGTGGCTGGCTAAACAGTTAGGAATGTTGGGCTCTCCTATGTTAGACCCAGGTTTGATTCCAGGATAAGGTCATGGATTTTCTGCTATCGGGGGCAAAAACAGAATCCTAACCTGCACAGTCCGTTGCAACAGCATTAGACATACAACCATACATCATCAAGCTCAAAGACCCCCCTGCCTACACTGTAAAAGTTGTAAATACAGGCAGTCATAGGCATTTTTTGCAGACTTCAAATGTTTGTAGGTCTGTCTGTATATTACCTCTCCTCAGCTTTCTTGTCAGCTTCATGGTCTACTCCCAGTCAGCTCGCTTGTGTACACAAATTGTGTCTCTCCGTTATCCACCATTCTCTCTGTATGTCCCAATCACTGCAGTCTATCAACACTAAGGAAGCTGATTAGTTTTGAAAGAGTTAAAAAATGACCATGGCCACACACAGACAAGAAAACACACACATAATAATATCATAAAAAGCATACCCATATCATCTTGAGTGATAACAAGATGGCATTTAGAACCAAGAACGTATGACTTGATACTTGTAATTTCAGTTCGGTTATGTTCCCAACAGTCCACTGAAGACAGTGAGGCAACATCCATAACAGCTAGGCCATTGGGAAGTCCAACAAACAAATACATGCCATCGACACTTGGTGTTAAAGCTGTTGCATTCTTGTACAACTGCAAATAAGTATAATGACTGAAATTGGTTAGCAAAACTGATCTACGCTGCATAGTTTAGTGTGTGTGCATGCACGTTTATGTGTAAGTTCATGGAGTCTATGGAGAATGGCTGGGAGATACAATGTTAATCTCCAACTTGAAGAAAGTCAAGTCTGAATGAAACTGTTGCCTGTGTGGGTTCTGGGGCTTCATTTTAAGGAAATAACAGATCCACCCCTAACAAACAAGTCATAAAAAGTGACTGATTAAGAGTATGCTGAAGTTGCATGTGTTGGGCTGAAGGGTGCAGATATGGCAACTTAGCTGTAAACCATAAAAACAATGTGACAGCCACACTTTTAAGGGAAAAAACAGAAGAAGAATGCAATTCTAGGTGGTTTTTACAAAATAATCAGCCCAAAAGATTAAAATGCTCCTGATCCTTGGATAGTGGACTGAATCTCCAACATTTTCAGAAAATTTTGAAAAATATGAATATTGAAATTACTTGTGCAATGGAAACCCTTAAAAAGTAACTGGTTGTTCTCTGGTAAAATTTTCAAAAATTAGAATACCCTTAGTGGAATATATAGTGTGTACTGATCATATTAATTTTGGAGGTGATTATTTTTTAACAGTCATTATTCATACTTCTTTGTGTAAGCAAACAGTAAACAACTATACTAATGTTTGTTCTATAACAGCGGTTCTCAACCTTCCTAATGCTGTGCCTCTTTAGTACAGTTCCACATGTTGTGGCAACCCCCAACCATACAATTATTCTCGTCGCTGCTTCATAACTTCAATGAATATTTGTTCTGCGATGGTCTTTGGCGACCTTTGTGAAAGGGTCATTTGACCCAAAAAAGGGTCGCGACCTATAGGTTGAGAACCACTGTTCTATAAAGTGCTCGCAGAAAGAACAGTGGTCTCAGCTGGATGAAGGGAAACTCTTAAATGCATCTCCAAGTGATAGAGGACAGGAAGTGCATTAGAGTGTGGCAAATTAAATTCATTAGATGAGTATCTGCTGGAATACGTGAACAATTCTCCACCTGAACACAGCGTAGGAGCTCAGTAATCCTGACAGTCAGCAATTGCTAAATTTCTCAAGAAACTATACTGGCTGCACATCCCAGGCTATGCTGGGGTAAGAAGAAATAAAGGAGTCAACAGATGGCCGTGTCTATAGTAATTGGTGGAGGAAGAAGTATGGATTGCCAGACTTACTGAATGTGCTGTATTTCAGAGATGTTGAGAAAAATGAATCAGAGAAGATGAACTACCTGTTGAAAATAGGTATTAAACAAAGTCAAGCATGCAGAAACTGGCTTGGGGTAAAGAAGGAAGATATGCCAGTCGACTCATAATGGGTACTGCCATTATGAAGACACTAATATGGTTGTTACGTCAGTGGAGGAGCATGAATGGGTCAGCCGCGCCGTCCGCGGTGCCCGGAACAGCTCTGACGGTATCCCTCGGGGCACCATTTTCCGGTAACCCGGCGAGGCAGCCCCGTGTCATTTCACTTGTCACACCTTACCGACGCCGCCGCCCCCATGTTGGACTCAGATTTAAAAAAAAAAAAATGTACTAGCGTATCCTAATGGACTACAAGAAATTGTCAAATGTGTAGGTCACAAACCAACAGAAAACAGTCAAATTTTCACCAAAGACTGAAATAAACAGAAAATAAATGATGTGCTCTTACTTGTAACATGTGTGATTCAGCAAACTGTGGTGCCAGATTTTTACTGGCTCTAGCAAGTAAACATCTGTCCTTCTCATCCACAATTTCCCATAGTGAATCCAGAATGTGCTCCAGCACTTTGTTAATCATTCGGTACGGCTGAGGTAAAATGTCGTACAGTTGATCAGGATCCATCAGATAATCACTGTCATTTTCAGGCTCCATGCTGTACAAGGAAGCCAGGGTTGGTGATAAATTCTTCTTTCTGTACACCGGCATTTTACAAGACCTCTTCAGAGCTGTCAGTGGGGTTGTTATAGCTTAAAAGCACAAATGAGACAAGTTTGTTAAAAATTGATGACTGATACAACTAACTAAAGCATAAATGTGGATTTCATGTGGAATGTTTTGTTTGATGTGCCCACAATGGATTGTGTTGTCAACAACAGTAAAACTGGAGGGAGCTAGATGCATTTGAAATGGCATGTATTTAGGCCATGCTGTGCCCAATACTGGCTTTTATAACTGACTGACTAAATCGTGAGCTGCTATTCTGGTGTAGGTCTGTTAGTGCTGGTACTTCTGATGGCTGCCTTATGCATTTACTTTGCATGTGAGAGCTTCAGGATCTGCCTCTCCATAGTATAAAACTTGGGCAGTATTGTGGAGACCACATGTTGCCCATAGATCATGATCTTTCTCTTTCTCTCTCTCTCTCAATCTGCCTTGTTTACTCCAAAGGAAAGGTAACACCATGGCAACTAGCTGAATAAAGTCAATTTTACTGAAGGTTTTCAGGAGGGAATGGAAATGGCTGCAGCCACTATTGACTTAGAAGATGTGTACAACCATGTCCCTTACAACATGCCCATCAGACTTCTGTTGGATATGCAGATTGAAATAAAATGGGTCAAGTGGATCGCAGCTGCACTATTTAAAAGAACAGTGTTGCTTTGATGTGGTGCATGGGCATCAAAACCTTGACACGTCCTAACGGGTCTATCACAGGGATCGTCACTGTCACCCGTGCTCTTCAATGTGTATATATCAGGAGTCACCAGTGCACAAAGCATAGGCCTAGTCAGAACAGCGTTGAATTCAGATGATATCCTTGTGTACTGTCGAAGGAAAAACAGGCACAAAATTACAACCACACTTCAACACGAACTAGATGGACTCAGTGAGTGGTGCCAGGAATCAAGAGCACAAGTAAACCTATCCAAGGCCTCCTTAACATGGTTCTCTCTAAATTCCCATACTGTCAGTACATCAACGCCAGTCATGAGCATGTGTGGGGTGGACATCAAGAGAACGGACACCATGAAATACTTTTGCCTGACATTTGACAGATGTTTGTCATACAAGTGTCAGGTAGACAACGTCATACTTAGAGCCAGGAAAGGTCTGACAGCACTATAGGTGCTAGCAGCAGCTGATATTGAACAACGCCTACTTTTCCTTCTCTATCAAGGATTTTTATTAGGCTTCACTGACTATAGTCTGGGCCTCCTCATGGTCAGCAAAACCCAGCTAGAAAGACTGTACAAAATGAGGCCATGACAGCTCCTGCAATGCCATGTGATATGTCCTGGGTTTGCCGACTATGGCTAACAGACACACAGTCGCACAGTTCAAGGCGTACATAAGAGTATCAGCAGACCTTAACCATCCACTGCACAAAGCTATACAAGACACAAAAGGAACGCGTCTCAAAAAAGGTCTCTCCTGGATGGCCATGGCTGAAAATTTAATTCAGCAGGTATGTAATCTAGACGAGATCAGTCATGGAAAAGAATTGACGAATACACCAGTAGACATATGCAGCATCTCTAAGGTTGTCATCACACTTGGAAAGTACTGCAGGGATCAGATTCCTGCAGCCGTAGACACATAGGTAAGGTCACTGATAGATCAGCATTCACAGCCAGAAGATATCCTCATCTACACAAATGATCCATAAAGCGCGGATCAAGGTCAGCATGGGCATACACAGTGCAACAAATAGGAGAAAAAAACAAAAGGATAGCAGCGCTTACCAGACAACCACGTCAAGCATGACTATGGAAATAACTGCTGCTTCTAGAGCACTAGCATGGATATCCAAGCAAACAGCCTCACAGGCAGTAATTGTATCAGACTCCATGAACATGCTTCAGAAGATAGCAACAGGCAATATGCGCTCTGAATGGGTAGAAAGCATTGGAAAATCACACTAAACCTCCCTCACCTGGATCTACATACCTAGTCATGCGTGAATAAAGGGTAATGAGCGAGCGGACCAACTGGCAGGCAATGCACCAATGCATGTGGGAAGAAGCATGGACAGAGCAGGTATCGTCAATGCTGTACAGACTGTGCTAGTAGCTAATGACGAATCTCTGACACTAACACGACTGAGTGACATTGGAGAAAAGCATAGTGAAGCACATCTATGCTGCCTTCGAGGCCAAGATAGGACACATTATAACCAGCTTCTCATGGGAACAGTTAGTAACAGAGCCTTGAAGTGGCTGCTGCACCAGAGGACTGAGCAGGCATGGGAATGTCCAATGTGCAGTGACGTTGATTGTAATAACACAACATAACAATATTATCAGTATTATTTATTTATTTAGCTAAAATTTCAAAAAAAAAATTCTTAGAAACCCAAATATTATTTTTTAGAACATGTGCAACTGGTATTTAGCTCAACATATCTAATGATAAACAATGAACTGTTTATGTGTTACCGTTCAACAATCTTTATTTTTCTTGAACGATGAATTAGGAATCAACATCATAGCACTCAGGAAACTCCCATAAGCGCTCTGTCCCTATCTTCAGCAGCTAGCAAATAGTTCCAGTTCCGATGGTACCAGTAACTGTCTGATTGCATATCCGTCTCCCCTTTCTCTTGAGTGTTGAGCATTGGCCAGATACCTTGTTAACTCCTTGACATTCTCCTCATATTGTAATGATCTGTTTGGGCTTCAGCACTGTTCACTCGCTCCCAAAGAGCCATGAGAATATCTAGCTTGTCATACATCAGTACACCACCAAGTGGGGCACCGGCTAGTCTATCTCACTGCCTGCTCGTTCCCCAACACTTGACCTGGAGAAAATATCTGAAGGACGCTAACTAACCGCCCTCTAAGGCGATGCTTGCCACTCTGCACGTAGCATGCCTGTCTCCAACTTTTTCAGCACACTCTCTGAGTCAATTACAAAATTAGCGTAGGTGTACAGCACAGCTGATTCTCAACCCATCCGAAAATATTGTTAGTTACCTCTGTAGCGACTACGGTGTTCGGCAATTGGCGGTCTTTTGGCAATTTCCGTTACCATGGAAACCGTTCGAAACTTGCTACGCAAATGTCGGCTGGGGTTTCGGGATGGGTCCTAATCTCTCATGAAATTTTGCGATTGGTGTGATTTTCACCCACTATAAAAAGCTGAAAACGGCGGGAAGGAACACGATTAACAGCACATGTGTACCACAGCCGGACGTCCTCTGTTTTTCTGTTACATCAGTTTGATTGAAAATAGCGATAAGTATTCAGGGTTGGCTTTAGGCTTTAACTGTTACTGGCCCTGGTAATGCTAGTTATAATTGAATTCTCCGTCCAATTTTACATTTGTGTATAAAATTTCTTGGCTCTCCTAGCAGATTTGGACGCAAGCGGGACGGCTTCAGTAGGCTTAGTGGGAGTTCTCTCCCTTGGCCGCACTCAAAACAAGTAGCGGAAAAAGTCACGAATCAAATGACATACTTACCTATCATCATCCGGGTGCGTGTAGGGTTGTGTATGGTTGCGTCTAGGGTAACCTATCATCACACGGTTGCGTGTAGGGCTGCGTAGGGTGTCTATCATCATCCTACGGTTGCGTGTAGGGCTGCGTATTGTGTGTAGGGTTGCGTAGGGTTGGGGGTAGGGTTACGGGTAGGGTTAGAGTTAGGGGTTAGGGTTAGGGATAGGGGTAGGGTTAGATGTGAAAATTTTCACGTAGGAGGTCGAAATAGTGGCCGACAATCTGATGCTTGTGGGAGTGGTGCCACTGAAATTCTGCCAAATATGACGCCAATAGCGGGCGGCTGGTGCCCAATCGGTGGCGAATTGTCCGTGTCGGTAGCATCCACCATTTGTCGACTGTTTGAGTGTGTATGTGACTGTGCGCGATTATAGGGAACTACGGCGTCAAAATTGTCACATCTAACGCTAAACCTAACACTACCCCTAACCGTAACCCTAACCCTACCCCTAACCTTAACCCTAAAGCTAACCCTAACCGCAACCCTAACGCTACCCCTAATCCTAACCCTAACCCTAATCCTACCTCTAACCCTACCCCTAACCACGCAAATTTATCGGTCATTAAAGCATACAGATCGGCAAAACACATAAAAAAAAACCAGATTTCCCCGCAGCGTCAAAACAAAACCCCAGATCTGGGGGACACACCCAAGCATTGGCAGCCCTGATGTCGACCTCACTGTCTTGTTTGATTCGTGACTTTTTCCGCTACTTGTTTTGAGTGCGGACAAGGGAGAGAACTCCCACTAAGCCGATCGAAGCCATCCCGCTTGCGTCCAAATCTGCTAGGAGAGCCAATTTCTTTCTTGTCCGTGGCTGTTTAGATTTACAGTGACATTTTTTTCAGGCAATCGCTTTTATGTGGCTGTGTCTGAGAAAAATTGTCTGCCATATTTTCCAATGAAAACAAAGACAAAACAAAAGTTGCGCAGTTTGGTTGCGCAGAGAAAACTTCTTGTTTCTCAGACACAAGTTTTAGCAGCTGTTTTTTACATCTCATCTCAACAAAAACCTACATATCTCAGCTCATAAATGACATACAAGGCTAAATGAGGTACCATTGGAAAGAGATTGTTTACAGCTATCTAACTGTGCTGGTTTTATTGGTGTTGAGAGCATTTTTTAAAAAAGGGTACTCCTGTCAAATCCGGACGAAGAATAAAAAGCCTTGGACGACTTAGTCAGAGTTCTCTCCCTTGGGCGCACTGTGAACAGTGATCGGAAAAGCCAACAAAACAAAGAAGACAGTCACGTCGACATCAGGGCTGCCAATGCTTGGTTGTTTCCCCCAGATCTGGGGTTTTTATTCAACGCTGCAGGACAATTCTGGGGGGGGGTTTTTTTTGGGTGTGTTTTGTTTGTTGGTTTTTGCCGATTTGTATGCTTTAATGATCGATAAATTTGCGTGGTTAGGGGTAGGGGTTAGGGTTAGGGAGTAGGATTAGGATTAGGGTTAGCGGTAGGGTTGGGTTTAGCGTTAGATTTGAC